TTTCCCCCCTTTTTTTTGTCCAATTCTGTCATTCATTCATTTCCACCACAAAAACTTATCATTAAAATCTCTTTTTGTCTTTTTTTTTGGCTTTACTGAAAAATATTTGACTAATCTTTTGAGGAGAGCTGTGTTTTCACTGGTTTTTTTTTCAAAATTTAATCTATTTCAATCTATTTCAATCTATTACTACTTCTTTTGTCTGATAGTAGAGTTGTTGATCGATCAGTTGCGACTCTTGAGAGAAATCAATGAAATTCAGCTTTGATTAGTAGAAAATCTTTGTACTAACCCAACTTTCTACACGACGCCTAGCAACTTCTAGAGGAGAATGTGTAGAAAAGTTTAGTACAAAGATTTTCTACTAGCCAAAGCGGAATTTCATTGATTTCTCTCAAAAGTCAAAAGTTAGTGTTAAAATTGGACTACATCATTGCTTTATCATTTCTTGCATCTAGAATTTGCTGTAAGTTCATCACTTTCATCACTTTCATCCACTTCTTCTTCTTCTTCTTCTTCTTCTCTTCTTCTTCTTCTTCTCTTCTTCTTCTTCTCTTCTTCTTCTTCTCTTCTTCTTCTTCTTCTCTTCTTCTTCTTCTTCTTCTTCTTCTCCTTCTCCTTCTCCTTCTCCTTCTTCTTTTTTATTCCTTTAGCTTTTGTTTAAGTGAAACCCAATCAGTGCATCATTTCGGTATCATTTTTAAGGAAACCAAAGAATCCTCAGAATTCCTCGCATGGAATTTCCCCTTGATAGGGTCAAATTCCGAGTGATCAATTTCCAATTTTTTTTCTGTACTCGATCTACTTTTCTTGCTTTTTCTTGCTTTTTCTCCTCTTCAAAATACTTTTATTCAAAGGAAATCACCGCCAATTTTGAAGGGAAAAAGACAAAACGAAGAAAAGAGCAAAAGAAAAATTTCGTCGCTTTCCGTTAGAAGATAAGCTTTCCGCAAAAAGAAAGACAAAATCCCCGATTTTTTACTGCAAATTTATTGACATTTGCATTCGAGTGTTGTTTGGAGGAAAGGAGAAGAAGAAGAAGAAGAAGAAGAAGGAGAAGAAGAAGGAGAAGAAGAAGGAGAAGAAGAAGGAGAAGAAGAAGGAGAAGAAGAAGAAGAAGAAGAAGAATTGAAAAGAAGAATTTAAAAGAAGAATTGAAAATGAAAATAAAAATGAGAATGAAAAAAACGACAAAATTTCGAAAATTTCGATGAGTTTAGCCAATTTTTGGGGGAAAAAAATTGAAAAGCCAATTTTTGAAACATTCAAAAATGCTTTGACTCCGATCTGCGATTGCTCTGATTCCTCCAGATATCTGACAATTGACCTAACTTTACATATCAAGTTGCCTGCTTAAAAATACAGGGCATTGTCACTTGGATAAAAATGAAATGGAGCGATTTCTTGAGTAGCCAATGTGCTATTCGCAAATTCTCCAATGTGGACCGAGCGTGATCGTCTTTTTGTTGCCCTCTTCTTAGGTGTAGCAGTAAGTTGCAGTAAATTTGATTAGTGAACCCAAGACTGACAAGACTGATTGAAACATTCAAAAATGTTTGTTGAGCGAAAATTTTCGGAAATTTCTTTTCCACAACTTTTACAATTCTCCATGTCTCACTGATATGCTGTTTGTTTTTTTTGCTCAATTGTCATTTTCTCTTTTAAATTCTTCACATTTCTTTCTTGTGACTCATTTTTTTTTTCGTTTTCCTCAAGTCACATCTATTTTTACCCGCTAATCAACAAAATTTTCTAATCAAAATAACATTTTCTTGATGGTAATCGTTAAAAATTCGCTTTAATTTCCATAGAAACTTGATTGAATATCTTTTAGTTATAATAATTAAAGTGCACAGTCAAAATTAGACAAAATTAAATTCATTTTCGGGGTAGGCTACTATATCCTTGGTTTTCAAAATTCTCCAGCGATCAGCTGATTATTTATAAAATCTATTGAAGGTTGAGCTTTAACAATGAGAGAACGGTTAGATACATGGTTGAAAATGAGGGATAGGCTACTTTGCGCCAAATTTTTTGCGCAACTCGCCATAACTTTCTTCTAAGTCGATCAATCTTTATCATTTTGGTTTCATTTTGTAAATTTCAATAAGTGCAACAAAATGACACCAAAAATGATAAAGATTGGCTCAATTAGAAGAAAGTTATGGGCAATTGCGCAAATAGAATGGCAGTTGGGGGAGGGGGTACTTTTTTTTTCTTCAAAACCACTTTTTCCCGGGTAGTTTTATGCGTAGATTCCGAAAACGACAACGAAAGTTAACGTACTTATTGAGATCTACAAAATGAAACCAAAATCATAAAGATTAACCGACTTAGAAGAAAGTTATGGCGAGTTGCGCAAAAAATTTGGCGCAAAGTAGCCTATCCCTCATTTTCAACCATGTATCTAACCGTTCTCTCATTGTTAAAGCTCAGCCTTCAATAGATTTTATAAATAATCAGCTGATCGCTGGAGAATTTTGAAAAACAAGGATATTTTTTGCGTTCTTGAAGGTTATCGGACATTTGATACACGCCCTGCCCCTTTGCCATTGACAATCTAACTTTGAGCTCAAATATCTTAGTCTTGGGCTGTTTGATCTAAATATTCTTATTATCATTAGATGCGCCAAGTCTTTCTCTGTCGATTGGTACAAAAACTATTTCAATTGAACAGCTCAACACCAAGAAATTTGAGCTTAAAGTTAGATTTGCAATGGCAAAAGGGGCGGGGCGCGTATAAAAGGTCCGTCGCCCTGCCCCTTTTCCGATTGCAAATCTAACTTTAAGCTCAAATTTCTTGGTGTTGAGCTGTTCAATTGAAATAGTTTTTGTACCAATCGACAGAAAAAGACTTGGCTTATTTAATGATACCAATAATTTATAAATTGGACAGCCCAACACCAAGATATTTGAGCTCAAAGTTAGATTGTCAATGACAAAGAGGCGGGCGTATCAAATGTCCAACAATCTCTCTTGAAAGGTCTAGGTTCAACTAAAGATAGGCAAAAATCTAGAATCAAAAGAAGGAAAAAAGCCAAGAATTAATTGTTAGAGCATTTGTCAGATCATATCAAATAAATTTCACATCCGATGAAATAGAAGGCCATCCCTTTGAGTCTCGAAAAGTTTGAGTTTCAACTTAAAATAGGCAGCCAATCGTTTGAGCGCTTCTTTTATTACAATTTGTTTTATTCTTTTTAGAATATATTTTCCATAAACTATTCGACTATTTTTTGAGAAAAATATGAGAGTTTTTGGGGAAAGAGAAAACTATCGCCGAAGAAGAAGATCGTTATCGTCTGAATCAAAGCCCTTTCTCAGTCATTTTTTTTGAGGGGAAGTGTGTGAGAAAGTTTATTTGTGCCAAAATGGAGACACTTTCCAAGATTTATTTACCTTTTTTTTTGGGGGGGGGGAAGGGAAAGATTTATCCCCTCTTTTCATCTAAAGAGTTCAGATTTTCGCGATGATAACACAAGTTTTTCATCGACACGATGAGAAAAGACATAGTAAACGAGCGGTATATTGTACTTTGAGCTTAAAATGCACCCTTTCTGACGCCATGGATTCTCTGTTTTCATTTGAATGATGAATTGAGTGCATCAGAAAGGATGTGTTTGCATTGTTGAGCTCAAAGTACATAAACATTTACGTACTCAATTGGTTTGATGATAATGTTGTACCAATTCCATTTCTTTCATTCATCCATTCTCTTTTCTTCTCATTTTTTGAGGAGAACAATGAAAAGTCATTCTTTTATTATTCTTTTTATAAAAAGAGTCAAATTTAGAACATACTACTCTTTTTGTAAAAGAAAAACTTTTAAATAACTTTAACCTTAACTAACTTTAACCTTAACTAACTTTAACCTTAACTAACTTTAACCTTAACCCATTCGAAACTTCTGCAGCGAATAATCGCTGCAGCAAAAACTCAGGAACGGACCGCTGCAGCGATTATTCGCTAAAGCGCTAATTGAGCTATTTTCATTCAATTAATTGGTTTTTTTTGCTGTTTTTCAGCATTATATGTATATTCCAATTGTAACAGATCTACAAATTACGTGAGCAAAAAAGATGTGTCATATTTACCCGGAATCAATGCAGCCTCTGGTTTTGCATTGAAATGTTCCATAATAGCTCTAATCTTATAAAGTCGATCTCCTGCAGGATCCAGTTCATTATCACAAAAGCGCAGGTTTCGAAGAATAGATTCAAATTTTGCTCTTGACATAATGTGGGAAAATCCTCCTAATCCAGGCCTGCTACTCCAGTAATCACAAATCCTCGGTAATTTGACGATTCCCATTTGAAGATACAGAGCCAGGCAGAGCTTGAAAGATTTTGCATCGAAATCCTGCCAGTTTGTTTTCCTTTTTCCATATTTATTAGATTCGCCTACTAACATATTGATTAATTTGTCGTCGATAAAATAAGAATAATAATCGATAGGATCTTGAAAAGTACTGAAGTCAAATCCAAATCGTTCTTCATCAAAAATAAATGGTATAGGAGACTCTCTTAAATCTTTCCAACCATCTGGATAAACTGCTTCGGAGTCAAAAATGTCAAAAAAGGGCTTGGTCCGCAGACGAAAAAAAAAGAAAAAACGCTACGGTTTCGAATGGGTTAACTAACTTTAACTAACTTTAACCTTAACTAACTTTAACTTTAACTAACTTCTATAACAAATCAATCAAAGCTATAGCATCTACTTTTATGAAAATTTCAACGTTGTGTAACTTGTTTCCCGCTCAATCATTTTCTTTATGCATTCCTTTCAATCATTCAAGCATATTCTCATCTTAAATGTTTATCTTTTCACTAACTTGTTCCTACTTATTGCTCATTGCTTGTTTACATTAAATTACAACATTACAACAGCTAATACATTTGTAATTTATAATTTACCCTGAAAACTAAACCAGACTTTATTCAATTAACCACACAGTTCAAAAGAGACGAGATTTCAATGATCATTTAACGGTTGGCTTTCTAGAGACTCGGTGGCTTCTAAAGAAAAGAATTTAATAGTGTAACATCAATTACAACTTAATCATGAATAAAATAGTGCCTTTGCTCGATCACTTAAACGGGGGATGTTAGCTGAAGTTGGACTCTTTGTTGCAATCTTCTTTTCTTCTTTTCCATCACTTTTCTTGCTCTTATCCTTTTCATCCAACTTCTTTTCAGCTTCCATGTAGCTCTGTGCCACTGGCAACATCATCTAAATAAAAGAAATTAGGAGATAAAGGTTTTTGAACATGAAAATATTTTAAACGGTCAACCATCTCTCAGCCAGACTAGATCAAGAATAGTCCTCAACTTTTACAATCAAAATATTAAAACTTACGACAAGTTTGTTGAGCTCTTTCATCTGACACTCACTGCCACTTCGAGAAGCTTTTCCAAAATCTGCATCCTCACCAATCGATCTAAAAAATTAATAACATTTAAGCAGCGATAAGTTCAAATCTCAGTCTCCCACTTTAACTAAACCTTTTAAGAAACAAAGATAAACTCCTTACCCGGCATCAGTACGAATCTGCTCCATCGACAGCTTCTTCAAATCTTCTGGGTTTATCTAAACATTTAAGTCACTGATGCCGGGTAAGAAGTTTATCTTTGTTTCTTAAAAGGTCTAGTTAAAGTGGGATGAGACTGAAATTTGAACTTGCTTAAATGTTATTAATTTTTTAGTTCGATTGGTGAGGATGCAGATTTTGGAAAAGCTTCTCGAAGTGGCAGTAGTATCAAATGAAGGAACTCAACAAACTTATCGTAAGTATGGGTTTAAATCTTTTGAAGTCCTTTTGTTAATTGTTTAGATAAACCCAGAAGATTTGAAGAAGCTGTCGATGGAGCACGAATCTGCTCTAAACCTTTTAAGAAACAAAGCTAAACTTCTTACCCGGCATCAGTGACTTTAGCACGAATCTGCTCCATCGACAACTTCTTCAAATCTTCTGGGTTTATCTAAACAATTGACAAAATACTTCAAAAAGATTTAAACCCATACTACTTGTGCTTGTTCTTGCTGAAGCTGTTGCTCAACCACCTCATATTTTTTCGACATCAGTGTCGAGTTCTAAAGGAAAAATCACAAAACATATAGGTAAGCAGATTTAAGCAACTTACACAGATCATCGAGCCAGATTTATGAATATTTTCCTCGCTTTTCGATTGACGAGCGGGCGGCAGATTCAGCTCGACATCATCACGATAACCATCCTAAAGGTAAACATATTAAAAAGTTGTAAACAAATAAAATTACTCTTAAACATTAAAATCCTACCCAACCTGTACAGCCTTGATCACTTCTTCGATATTTTTTCGTTTAAAATGCTCCATAGTTATCTTAAAATAAGGAAATTCGCTGATAGATCGATAGGAAATTCGCTGATAAAAAAAATCAACCTTGAAAGATTCGGAAGATGATTGTGCCTTGTTTGGTGTTGGGGGTGTAGTTGGAGCGAGAGCTGTCATCCACACGAAATCCGAGCAGAAGTATTAACAGAAATGAAAAAATGAGACGAGCACATTGTCGCGAGAATTTTTCCTATCCTAACTAGTCATATTCAAATTTAGAAACAATAATTTACATTTCAACGATAAATAAAACAAATACTCGGTCAGTTTAAGATGATGGTCCCAAAGAATCAAATAATTTTGCCCCTTATCCTTTCTGTAGTGTGAATTGAGGCCATTTCTTTCTTTGTTTTGTTTTTTACTTTGTTTTTTCCTTTCTCTTGTTTTTTTTTCTTTGAAAAGAAAAAGAGAAAAAAGACAATTACTTATTTTTTCTTTTCTTTCAATGTTTTCCTTTTACCAGTTTGCAAGGAGTAATTTGATTTCAGATTTATTCAAAACAAGAGATCTGCAGAGAAGCGATTGGCAGAAAAGAAAAGAGAAAAAAGATCGTTGAGTGATCTGATCGTCATCAAAAAGACAAAGAAGGGGAAATATCATAGATTGGAAGAAAAAAAAGAACAGAAAAAGGGGAGGAGTTGAAGATTGAAGGGGAAGCAAAAGAGAACTTGGGTCTCAAGGAGAAAAAAAAGCTTTTCCCGTATCACAACTTGGAGAGACTGAAAAGAGGACTTCATCGTCGAGAAGGGAAAAGGGAAGAAGAAGAAGAAGAAGAAGAAGAAGAAGAAGAAAGGAAGACTGACCGATTCAGTCTCTCATTCCCATCGCATTCTCTTTTCAAAGGCCCCTTTTCTTCTCGATTTCCCTCTTCTTCCACCAATCCACTCCACTCCACCTCTTCTCCTCACCACACAGACAAGTTCGTTACTTTTCCCCATTCTTGATTGTTACAGTTTTTTGAGGAATGATATCGATCGATTTTTTTTTGATCTTAGGATTACTGGCTAAAGAACTTCTGGCTAAAGAAAACTATCGCAAGCTCTTAAGTGAAATTTCTAGGAGGATGTCCACAACATCTCCTCTACAACGGGCATCAACATCATTATCGCTTAATTTCTCCATTTTCTCATTTGCGTTTCTCTTTTTTCTAATCACCGTCAATGCGAATGAGGTGAGGATTTGAAGGTTTTGTGGAGGAAATTTTAAAGGTATTAGAGTGGGGTATTAGAGTGTTGGGCTTCTGCAAAAGCTTCGAAACCGTATAATAGTCAATCTTGTTGGTGTAAAAATTAATTTAATTGATGCAATTGATGTAATTGATATTGTAAATTGATTTCTAAGAGTTAGTTTCATTTTTGATTTGCGATCAGCTATCGCTTGCTATCGTAAATACTCTAATAGAACGCCACCTCTTCGTACAGTCGTGTAGCTACTGTACTAGCTACTGGTACTAGCTACTGTACTAGCTATTGTACTAGCTACTATACTAGCTATTGTACTAGCTACTGTACTAGCTATTGTACTAGCTACTGTACTAGCTATTGTACTAGCTATTGTACTAGCTATTGTACTAGCTATTGTACTAGCTACTGTACGCGTAAATCTAACTTCTTTTTAGAAAATCTTTTCTCATAACTAAAATACAAAATGTACAAAATGTTGAAACTGAATTGAATTGCACAATTGAAGGATTGTCCCCGTCCATGTCCTCCATGTCGATCAACGGGAAATTGTATGGAGACAACACTTGATCAGTGTGGATGTTGTAGGGTAAGTTAAAAGAAAAAAAAAACATCTAATAGAATCATATTTTATCACCATTACATAAAAAAAAGCAATTATTGATAATTTCTAGCCAAAATTAAGCCAAAATTTCCTTTCTTTACTTTAAAGCGAATGTTTTTTAAACAAAAAATTCTTTTATTTACGTAAATATTTCTATTAGAAAAGTAAATCTTGTTTACTTATCTCTGAGCTTTTTTTGATCTATTACGGTTCCAATACGGTTCTTTTTTGATCTAATACGGTTCCAATACGGTTCCAATACGGTTCTTTTTTTGATCTAAGCTCAATTTGACTTTTAATCAACTTTCCAAATCTTATTTTATTTTATTGTTTTCTCAATTTTGGGAGACTTGAGGGCGCCGATCAAAAAATGAGATCATTCCTTTCTTTTCCCTTTTCTTTCCCTTTTCTTTTCCTTTTCTTTTTCCCAATTTTTATCAAGTGTCACTCAATGCTTTCCAATACACTAAACTTTATCTATTTTCAACAATTTTTTTTACAAAAACGAGCCAAAAAAGAACTCTTTTATGGAAAACGAGAACGTATTGAGGGCGAATCAAAAAAAGTGTTAGATGAGGGGAATCTAGAAAGAATTTCGAAGCTGAAAAGCTTCAAAGATCTTTCTGAATATTTCTGGATATTTTACAATACTCTAGTTCTCTATTTCTTATATAAATGAACAATTTTAGACCTAATCTATCAAAATCTCACTCACTTATCAATAGAATTGTGAAGAAAATCGATGAGAAGAGTGGGCGAGTAAAGCGCAACTCTGGATAGTAGAAAGTCTAGGATTTTACCCTTTTATCTGCTGCCTATCTGCTGCTGCAAAAGCTTCGTTTACAAATTTGAAGCTCAAAGTACATGCATGTCATACATAGGTATATTTTGGGTGAACAATTGCGAATGTGCCCTCCGAATCGATCGCTAAAAAAAAGCGAAAAAGCTAAATCTTGAAAAAATCATTAAGTACACCATTAAGCTAATTTGTTAAGCTAATTAAGCTATCGATTTCTGGTATTCACAATTTCCCTCATCAAATCGTTCTTTAACTCTATCAGAGTAATCTTTTTTTGATTGATCAAAATTCGATTTGCTTTCAAAGTTTTCCGTTTTCGAAAAACCCAAAATTTCACTACTGATTTCAGGTTTTCTTAAAGCCGAAATCAAAAACAAAAAAAATCAACTTCACTTTTGATGCACTCTGCTAATTTGTATCGATTTCTGATATTCTGCTTTCACAATTTCCCTCATCAAATCGTTCTTTAATTCTGTCTCTTTCTCTTTTCTCTTTTCTAATGTTAAAGTAGAAAAAAAGACGTTTTCACGATTCGATTTTTATTCCTCTTCAATATATATTTCTTTTTTCCGCGCAGTAATTCGACACTCTCCAAATACACATTTTCGGCCTCAATTTTCTATTCGGTTCTCTTTTCAAAAGGGTTTTTTTTGTTTCCAAAAAGAAACCACCGAAAGTTCGATAATTTTCAGGGAAATAGGGGCCCAGATGTTGAGTTTCAAAAAAAAAAGTTTGGTTTAATTAGGTTCATTTTGATTTAATGGAGAATTTAGTGAGCTTGGAAGCAAGCCAAATGGTGGTCAATGGGAAAATGAAGAGGGGAAGCGAGTATTGAAAGTTAAAAGGATATTATAGTTAGTACTAGAGTTTGTTCCTTGCAAGTAAGTAATTACGCAAGTAAAATTAGCATGAGTAATTGTTACTCGATTTTTTGATCGAGTAACTACGAGTAATCCACTTTACACGTCAAGTAAATTGAATATCTTCAGATTTGAAGGGAATTTGTCACAAAATCATTTAAACAGCTGAATATCATTAAATTTGAAGGGAATTTGTCACAAAATCATTTAAACAGCTGAATATCTTTAAATTTTAAGGATATTTGTCAACTAAAAGGCTGGATATCCTTCAAAAGAGCCATATATAATGCGTCATTTTTTCGCTCGTCATTTTTCGCGCCATTTTTTCTGCAATAATTTTCGCTAAAAGTACGTTGTCACCAAATCATTTAAATGGCTAAATATCTTTACATTTGAAGGGGAATTTGTCACCAAATCATTTAAATGGCTGAATATCTTTAAAAGAAGCCGAATATAACCCAACGCTCGTCATTTTTTCCGCCATTTTTTTTGCAATGATTTAAAAGTACGGTAATTTTTCCCAAATATTCGTTTTAAAAACGCTAAAAACTTTAGTTAGTACAGTTTTTTTTGCAAGCTCCTTTTTCCCCGAGGAATCCGTTCCAAAAATGCAATATTTATGAGGGAAAAATGAAGCACGCTTTCTCTTTCGACAACAAAAACTTTACCAACTCTTTAAGTGAATCATTCAAGAGATTTTCGAGTGTTTTTCGACTTTCTAGATGAAAAAGCTTGCCATAGGGAAGCTGTTGATCGAAATAGAAAATTTCAATGCTAAGCATGGGATTAGGGGAAAAGTTTGGATTATATTAGCTCAAAAAAATTTAAAATATTAGCTCAAAAATGACTAAATATTTGTTACCTATTTTTTTTAATGAATTTGTATTGTTAATAAGGTTTGAATCATAAAAAAAGCCTAGCTTACAGCCTAGCCTATAGCCTAGCTTACAGCCTAGCTTACAGCCTAGCCTATAGCCTAGCTTACAACCTAGCCTATAGCCTAGCTTACAGCCCAGCTTACAACTCAAGGCTAAAAATTAGCTTTGATCAGTCATGGAGCTGATTTAAACCGACTCAAAAGCGAGTTTCAACTCAATCCATTTAAACTTTAATCCTTTTCTTAAATTTTTCATCAAAATCTTCCCAATTCACATAAAATACACGTGTTCACTATGTGTGGGAGTGGTTTTTTTTAAAAAAAAGAGAAGGAAAACATTTGGACAAGACTTAAACTCTATTTGTTTAACGAGAGGAAAAGAGAAAGGAATAAAGAAGAAAATAGAGAAATTCTATGAAGAAAAGAAAAGAAAACTAAAAGAAAAGCCGACCCACCCAGAATCAACACTAAAAGAAAAAAAAATGGACTGTTTTTGGGGAGAGAGAATCAACTCAAACCCACATTCACTTTTAACCACAAATATCGATTGGTTGACAGGGGATTTTTCAAGAGAAAGTGAAAAGCTATGCGAATTTTCCACTGTTTAGACTAGAAAGATCGTTCTTATCGGGGAAATTGTGAATAAAGCTCATATTTGTGACAAAAAGCTATAGAATTCAGTTTTTAGTTATTAGAGTATTCTCAGGAAACGAGGCTAATACTTGAAGAATTTCACTCGAATTGATTCACTGACAATGAGTTGAAGATATTCAGTCTTCGATTTCAACATTCTGTAGAGAAAAGGAGCCAAATCTGTCGAGAAAAGGAGTCAAACCTGTAGAGATAAGGAACCAAATCTGTCGAGAAAGGGAACCAAATCCGTAGAGATAAGGAACTAAATCTGTCGAGAAAGGGAAACAAATCTGTACCGAAAGGGAACCAAATCTGTAGAGAAAAGGAGCCAAATCTTTACCGAAAGGGAATCAAATCTGTAGAGATAAGGAACCAAATCTGTCAAGAAAAGGAACCAAAGCTGTACCGAAAGGGAACCAAATCTGTCAAGAAAAGGAGCCAAATCTTTACCGAAAGGGAATCCGAGCTTTAACGTACTCTCAATAGATAAAAATCAAAAAAAGCTAGAGATAACTAAAAATTCTGTGCAGGAATTGAATTCAATTTCAAATTTTAGCATTGCGTCTCTCGAGATGGTGAAGATTGTGGACCGGGAAAGGGTGTCTGTACAAAAGGATATTACTGTGCATTCAAGACTGAACTGAATGACGAAGGGAAATGCACAGGTTGGTGATCAGTTTGCACAGGAAATGCACAGATTGACAAGAAAATTCGCAGAAAAAGTTTGCAATGATTTCTGAAAAACTAACTCATGAGTTTCTTTCAAATTTTTTTTGATAAACGACTATATTATAAAAAAAAAACCTTTAATCTATTTAACCCTCATAAAGAATCGTTTTTTTTTTATTGCAAAAAGTGAGCTGAATTTAAGCTGAAAATACTTTTTAAATGTTCTTGAATTGGTGGATTTGTTTTTAAGAAATTTCATTTCAAATTTGTGTAAAGATTTTCTTTTCAACCCAATACTTATGAGCAGATTAAAAGCACGGTAAAAAGGAATTACCGTAAATACTGTAATAGTACTCCACCCCCATAATGACGGTGCGGAGTGTTGCGTAGTCTAGCTTTGAACGAGTTTTTCTCGGCACTGGTTTATGCTACAATGCGCGCTTAGGTATCAAAAAATAGCTGAGATTCAGGGCTATTTTTCCCTAAATACTGTAATAGTACTGGCCAATGCCTAAATACTGTAATAGTACCCCACCGCCATAATGACAGTGCGAAGTGTTGCGTAGTCTAGCTTTGGACGCGTTTTTCTCGACACTGGTTTAAGCTACAATGTTCGTTTTGGTATCAAAAAATAGCCCTGAATCTCAGCTATTTTTTGATACCAAAGACGCATTTTTTGAAAGTACGAGCGCTTTGAAAAAAATGAAATACTAAAAAACTTTTGCGACTACGCGACTGTACGAGGGAGGCGGGTACTATTACAGTATTTACAGTAATTTAACTTTTACTCATCAAAAACATCTCAATATTTTCTCTTCAAAGCTTCCGATTCTTTGAGAATTTACACAAAAACATATCCAACACCCGCCGCTTTTTTTTTTCGATTGATTTCAAAATATTGTTCTTTTCTTTTCTTTTCTTTTCTTTTGACGTTTCCGAATTGATCTCCCGATTTCTTTTCTGACTCAAATCACCACGTGATCCATTTCCGATTATTCACTTGAATTTTGCCTTGAAAAAAAGAGAAAATAACATTTAAAAGAGGAAATTTCCCCCGAGGAAAATGATCGAACATCTGATAAATCATCTGTGTTTTATGTTTCATTTCAATGAAATATTTTTCAACATTTCAACATTTCTTTTTAATCAAAATCAAAATTTCAAAAGCTTCATTTGCTTTGCTTTTTGCCTTTACTTTTTAAACAATTTTAAACAACAATTGTAAACAACAATTTTAAAACAACAATTTTAAACAATAATTTTAAACAACAATTTTAAACAACAATTTTAAATAACAATTTTAAATAACAATTTTAAAACAACTATTTAAAACAATTATTTTAAACAACTATTTTAAACAACGATTTTAAACAACGATTTTAAAAGAACAATTCCTCTTTCACCAGTGTTTGATATTGTTGTTTGATTCTTAAATCGAAACACTTATCCCGAAAAAAACACAAAATTGTTTGCGAATTCCTGGCGAAAAGGTGGGGCGAAAGTGTAATCAGCTGATTCTCCGAAAAGGGACAACAAAAATCGAAGTCCCATAAATTTTGCACGAAAAAGGAAACGAAAATTGGAGGAGAAAAATTGAAAGTAAAGAGAAAAAGAGAAATGGTGAAATGAAAAGATTGAAAAATCGATTTGATCGGAGATGGGGCAGGGATGGATTGCTGTTTTTTTTTTTTCTTTGATTTCTTTTCTTTTTCGAAAACCGGGCAAATATTTTATTTCAAAACACAGACAATTCCCTAATTTTTGTGCGTATTAAAGGAGTTTCTTTTGTTCATTTATTTTGTCGTACTTTAATCTCAAAAAGCTTTACACTCTTTTCGGAATTCTTAAGCTAGCTTCGATTACTCCTTTTCTCCTTTTCTTCGGTTACTCCTTTTCTTGCGTCAATTCTATTTAGCACTTGTTTTGTCTGTTTCGTAAACGGAAAATATTTCAAAATATTTCTTTTAAATGTCTCACAGTCAGTCTCGTTCGTTTAGCACTTAAATGGTGAAAAATTGCACAGTCAGCGAAACAATTGAAACCTACAAGAAAAGATAAATACCAAGCAATCAGTGTTCCGCTTACATCATGTTTATGATCATCATCGATCATCATCGATCATCGTCTGTTTATGATCATCGTCACAAAAGTCTTCATACATGTGCGTGTACATCTCAAAAAACCAATGAAACTTGTTTACGGACCATAAACACACACATTCAAAAATCTCTTGCTTTTTAACCAATTTTAAGGGGAAATTTTAAGGCGAAATTTGGTTGTCTTTGCATTAGTTGAATTTCCACATCATCAAGATCTTTCCACATCATCAAGATCTTTCCACATCATCAAGATCTTTCCACATCATCAAGATCTTTCCACATCATCAAGATCTTTCCACATCATCAAGATCTTTCCACATCATCAAGATCTTTCCACATCATCAAGATCTTTCCACATCATCAAGATCTTTCCACATCATCAAGATCTTTCCACATCATCAAGAAATCATCCACATCATCAAGAAATCTTTCCACATCATCAAGAAATCTTCCACATCATCAAGAAATCATCCACATCATCAAGAAATCATCCACATCATCAAGAAATCATCCACATCATCAAGAAATCATCCACATCATCAACTTTCCACATCATCAAGCTCTACGCTAATTTAAGATAAATCTTCGAAGATCTTCTTGCAAAATATTCCAATTCGAGCCTCTAGACGGAACATTTTATTTTCTCTTCTTTTTTCATCAATTTCTTGCTCGATTTGTCTGCCTTTTGATGAAATTTCCCCCTTTCTTTTTCCCTTTCTTTTTTGATTCCACTTTTCATTGGCCTTTGTGTCGACACATTTTCATTTTTTTTTCTATTTCGACAAATGCTTACTAAGGTGGTTTTGATTTTTATAGTCCAAAGAGGCATTCAATATTGTCAAAAACGGTTTTATAAAACTTTATTTCAACCTGGCTGGCCATCTTCTGATGGAAGAATTCTTTCCTTCACGAACTTTTCTCGATCTTTCCAAAATCCCCTTCATTTCCCTTCATTTCCCTCCCTTTTTCTTCATTTTCTTTTCTTTTCCCTTCAGAAATCAGATCGATGTATCATCCGAATGCCTCCTTTTTTCCTTTTGATCGACTTTTTTTTTGATTTTTTTTTCTTTCTTTTGCCGCAGAAATTTGTGCCGCTCAAAACAATCGGTGCCTTTTCAGAAAACGACGTTTTCCCCTCTTTCAGACATTTTCAACTTTCAGCTTACTCATCTTGAAAGATACCGTAAATACTCTAATATACTCTAATAAATAAGAAACCCCCCCCCCTATAGGAGCGGCGCGTAGTCTAACTTAGTCTAACGCGTAGTCTAACGTAGTTGACACTCAAAGAACCGCTCATATCTCGGTGCCCAGATATTTGTTTCTGCGCGCTTAGGTATCAAATTAAAGTAGAGAGGATGGGTGATTTTTTGAGGTATAACACATATTTTTGGCATTAACCAGCGCTTAGAAATAAATGATTGAAAAATGATGAAAAATCGGCTCTTTTTCACCGATTTTCAATCACTTTTTTCTAAGCGTTAGTTAAAGTTAAAAATCTGTGCTATATCTCAAAAAATCACTCATCCTCTCTACTTTAATTTGATATCTAAGCGCACAAAAAAAACGTACTAGTGTCAAGATATGAGCGGTTGTTTGAAAGACTACGCGATTAGATTGAAAGATAGATTACGCTCCTGTATAAGGGGGAGAGCTTCTATTAGAGTTTTTACGGTAATCCTTTCTGTCCATTTATTACCAGGGTTTTTTGCTTTCTTGCTGGATGTTTTGGCGCAAATTTTTGTCGCCGGTGGGGCAGTCGTGAGCGCGCTGGTGTACGGCCCACATGGCCCGGGTTCGATTCCCAGGTGTTTCACCCATCTTTGATTTTAAAATGGCCTAACTACAATAGATTCAAAGGTTTTCTAAAGAAGTTTTAGCTTTATTGGTCAAAAGACGGTCGAGAAAATGCCCTTACAGACAGACAGACACTGCTCTTTTATATATAGTAGATTTAGACCGGGCGTGAGAATAGTTTAGAATTGGAGTTATTTTGTAGGGCTGTAGTTGAGCCACACCCAGCTTCGACGATCCGTAAGCATTTTACTTTTGCTAATTTTTGTTCATTTACTCATCCGCCATTCCAAACGTCAATCCGTTTCTCTTTTTTGTGATTCCGTTCCTCTGATTCACGCGAATCCCCTTTTCTTTTGTTTTTTTTCCACTCTTGATCTAAAATGATCATTCAAAACTGGCGCCAGGGAATTGTTTGTTGTCTGTTTTTTGTCTTTTCTTTTTCTTTTTCTTTTTCTTTTCTCAAGAAACACTTTTGTTCCTTTCTCCTTTTCTTTTTTGTTTTGTTGACTTTGCCTTGAACGCTTTTCGACTCGGAAAGACCAAAAAAGGATTGAGGATTTAAAAAACTGACCAAAAAAAGGAAGAAATCAAAGATTGCGGGCAATTTTTGGAGGAAAATATGGGATGAATATGTTTTTGTAATAGTGTCATTCAATTGGTTTCAAAGTAAAAGGGTTTTTGATTTTAAAAATGGGTTTTTTTTCTTAATCACTTTCAAATTCTGACGAATTTTGGTACAAAAAGTTGCAAAATTCTTCGTTCTTTTTTCTCACTATCTTTTTCTTTTCGTTCTTTCTGTTGATCGTCTCGATTCGTGGCGCCATTTCCCTCGATTCTCGTCTCTGTCAATATTCGCGTTGGATTCGTAGAAAAAAATTGCTAAAGAGGAAAGCAGATCGCTTTCAAAAATCGTTTTGTAGCTGAAAAATGAAGTTGGGGATTGGAGAAGTTGAGAATATCGAATAAAAAGCATACCGTTTTTTCTCTAATAGTGGTGCACCCTGAGCGTTGCCTAAATTACTCAAAATCTCGAGAACCGCTTATCAGAACCTATCGATGTGGGGTCGGAAAATGTAGCTGACGATCAGATCTTGCGGGGGATTTGAGTGTTGAGCTTCTACAAAAGCTTGGAAACCGTAAAATAGTCACCAATTCGGCTCGCCGGGGTGCACTACTATTAGAGAAAATACGGTACATGAAAAACACACTTTTAAATAGCGCACCGAACGAATTCTAGAGTCATGCAAAAGGAGAAATCTTGACCTAAGTCTTTTCCTAAGCCTTTCTTTCTCATTTCCTACTGATAAAATACTGTTTTTTCTCTAATAGCAGTGCACCCTGAGTGTCGCCTAAATTACTCGAAATCTTGAGAACCGCTGATGAGAACCTATCGATGTGGGGTCGGAAAATGTAGCTGACGATGAGATCTAGTGGGGGATTTAAGTGTTGAGCTTCTGCAAAAGCTTCGAAACCGTATAATAGTCACCAATTCGGCTCGCCAGGGTTCACTACTATTAGAGAAAATGCAGTAACTATCATTTAGGCATTGATAACAAATAGTTGATGAGCTGGATGGCTTTTGGCATTTCAGTTTTCACGTTTATTAGTAAGGGGTACTGCAGTACCCCTTACTGTATCAAAGTACAGTACAGTATACTGTATCAAAGCTACAGTAATCCATCAGACAATAAATATTGTCTTATGGAATCGTCTTTTTGACCAGAAATCCTATTGGATAGTACTAAAGCTTGCTTAAACAGCAAATATACAAATTAAACTTAAAAATCCCTGTAAAAGAAATACGTTAAAGTCTAATTAGCCGTTAAATTTTCATTTCTCTTTCATCCAACTCTTGAAATTGACTTCAGTTGAATTCAATTATCATCAATAAAAGATCGGGGAACATCTCCTTTCTAAATTGATCCTTAAAAGAGGCCAAAAAGAGAAGGAATGGGTATTTGTGTAGATCTAGAAAGCCCAATCCCTCAATTATCCCATCACCATTAGAGGAGTCGATCTCTTTAGGAGCCCCTAAAGAGATCCCCGATCCCCTTCCCATCTGTCCTTCAGAAATACATCCTTTCCTGCGTATTTTCTTTTGAATATTCACTTGTACTTGTATTGATTCAACAATCATATCAGTCCAAGAAAGCTCTAAGTTGTATTGTATCAATTTTCAAAAAACATTCTTCCTCTAGTTTATTTTTGCGAAATCTTTAAAACCACAGCAAGAAAGCTCATCATTTTTTGAACACAAAACACAAATGAATCTACTCATTAAACCGTGAAATACAGAAATGGTGTTACAGAAATGGCTCCAAGTAGTGGATGTGATCACTCTACCTGTTCTCCGGCAATTCATCCCGAATGCCCAGCTGATTCTCGTCTCTCAATCACACCAATCAATGGGGAATGCTGCGAGAAATCGGGGAAATGTCTCTGTGATTTGAAGGTTAGCTTTTAAAAGTATAAGAAGTTCAGTATAGAGTACAGTAAATTGATTTTTAGCGTTGTCTCTCATCAGTTCCCGTTTGTGAGGAGGATCTTGATCGAGTGCTCGTCGAGAATGGAAGAGAAGAACCGGGAAGATGCTGTGACAGATTTGAATGCAGGAAAAAGGGTAAGGAAATTACAAAATATAGATTTCAATGTAGATTTCAAGATAGATTTCAATGAACATTTAGATATTAGTACAATAAAAATCATTGGATAAGCTAATAAAGCTTATCCAATGGTACAGTAAAAATCATTGGATAAGCTAAATAAAGCTTTGGAAAAGATCTAAACAAAAGAAAGCTTTTCAGAGAAGCACTGTGCCTCAGTGAGATGTCCACGATTGCTTGTCGATATTGCCGGCAATGAGGTGAGTTAGTAGATTTTGAAATGAGATAAATAAAAAGATTTAGACGCCAAATATCTCTACTAATCGTTTGGCTCTTCATTTGTTCATTAATTTAGATTTTCGATGAGGAATGTCCTGTCGATTCCCTTCGTCCACCCACGCATATCACTCCCGGGAGTTGCTGTCCGATTACACCCGAGTAAGTAAATAAATAGATAGATAAATAAGATTTAGATTAGATTTTGTGTTGTTTGTGTTTGTGCAAATAAAACTACCGTAAATACTGTAATAATACCCTACCCACTCCCCCGTACAGTCGCGTAGTCGCAAAAGTTTTTTAGTATTTCATTTTTTTCAAAGCGCCTGTACTTACAAAAATTGCGTCTTTGGTATCAACAAATAGCCCTGAATCTCAGCTATTTTTTGATACCTAAGCGCGCATTGTAGCATAAACCAGTGTCGAGAAAAACGCTTCCAAAGCTAGACTACGCAACACTCCGCACCGTCATTATGGCGGTGGGGTAATATTACAGTATTTACGGTAGGTTTTTTTTTCTAATATGTACAGTAAATATTCGACTGTCCAGAAAGTCTTTTCATTCTTTTTCGTACTTCCTTTTAAAACCAACAAATGCAGCAATTGAACTAGGGTTTATTTCATTAAAAATGCCAATGATTTTTCTGCAAAATAACATTAAAACGGTTTTTAAATCTTTCATTTATGGTTTTTTTATGACCGTGTAAAGTCCGGTAGTCAAAAATGCGATTCCATGATGCGATTTAGATATTTTAGTTAAAGAAACCTATTCTCTTTCGTGTCTATAGATAAAAATATAGAGCACAAAAAGTTTGGTATATAGGGGAAATTTTCAGAGAATTTCATTCACCCAATTTCTTCGTAGAAGTTTTTTTTTAGATTTTCTACAAAAAAACACGTGTTTTCCCTCTCGAATTTTGCTTATAAGTGAGTCGAAATTGACTTAAAAAGATGGGAAATTCACCAATAAACACTTTTTATTTAGAGAAAAATCATAGGTTAAATTGGTGAATTTGTTATTTTTGAATGAAATTATGAACGAAAAAACTTTCTGCACAGCTAAATATCCTTTTCTCAATCATTTCTCCTTCTTTTTTTTTTTTAAAAAAAAATTTTTCAATTGTTATTTTTCAAAAGGAACTATGGAAAGGAATGAAAAGATTTTCTGGAAAGCTTAATAAACAACAAGTTAACAGCTTAATAAACAATAAACAAGAAGACTAAACAACAAGACTAAACAACAAGTTTAAGCATGAAATTCTGCATTTTAACCTTGTTCAAGATGAAATCCTTTTTAGATGCAAATGTCGAGCTTCTGTTTGTCGACCGGCTAAATGTGAGGAGGGAGAAAGAGTCAAAGTAAGTGAATCTAAACAACTTTTGAAATAAATGAACGAATTTGAGGTGTTGCGAAAAGGGAATGGCAGTCCGGGTAGATGCTGTGATGTGTGGGAGTGTGAGAAAGCCGATTTGATGGTACGAGATCTTAGTCGTTTGGAAAAACTGATACGCATTCAATTTAAAATACTATACTAAATCCTATAAAATGGTAATCAATGGTGTATACACTACTGGACAATGAAATATGATATTTGAAAAAAGATCGTCACTTTCGCGCGCCAGTAACTCCCTTGTCTTTATCGTATTTTTAAATATTAATATTACCATTGTGTAGCCCTTGAAAAGAGCTTTCAGAAAATATATAACACTAATAGTTTAAACGCAAAGACAAGGGAGTTACAGACGCGCGAAAGTGACGATCTTTTTTCAAATATCATATTTCATTGTCCAGTACTGTAGTTTTGGCTTTAATTTTCTAAATGTACAAAGTTTTGAATTTTTTTTTGCGGGATTATGGTACGTTCTGGTAAAAACCGTTAAAAAAAGCCTTATTAAGATATTTTTTTACAATATTCTCTCTAATATTAGTGCACCCCATTTCTGATTTCTTTTACAGGAATTTTTAAGTTTAATTTGTATATTTGCTGTTTATGCAAGCTTTAGTACTATCCAATAGGATTTCTGGTCAAAAAGACGATTCCATAAGACAATATTTATTGTCTGATGGATTACTGTAGCTTTGATACAGTATACTGTACTGTACTTTGATACAGTAAGGGGTACTGCAGTACCCCTCACTAATAAACGTGAAAACTGAAATGCCAAAAGCCATCCAGCTCATCAACTATTTGTTATCAATGCCTAAATGATAGTTACTGCATTTTCTCTAATAGTAGTGCACCCCGGCGAGCCGAATTGGTGACTATTATACGGTTTCGAAGCTTTTGCAGAAGCTAAACACTCAAATCCCCCACTAGTTCTGATCGTCAGCTACATTTTCCGACCCCACATCGATAGGTTCTGATAAGCGGTTCTCGAGATTTCGAGCAATTTAGGCGACTCTCAGGGTGCACTGCTATTAGAGAAAATACTGTAATATGTATTTATCTATTTTAATTATATAAATTTTAGGGTAAAAACTGTACATGGGGTGATCGAGAATACTCGGATGGACAAGAATGGCATTCATCTCAGTGTGAGGTTCGTGGGAAAGTTTGGAAATGTAATGCCATTTCTAATCGACTATATAAAAGAGTCTGTCCGTCTGTACGCACGAGTTCTCGGCTTTCCGTGAGCCGATTTACATGATTTTTAGTTTATTAGGCTTAGAATTCTATTTAGTTGTGCATCTCATATTTCGTTTTTTAAAAAGCAAAAGTCATGGTTATACAGCCGGGAGTCGAACCCGGATCGTGTGGGCTGTAGAGAAGCACGCTCCCGACTGCGCCACAGCCACGACCCGGAAAAGCTAGAAAAGGCCTCTTTTAGACGGGTTTTTGGGATGGTACTTGTATAACTTCTATAGCTCTCTTGTCTTTCTGATTTATTCTCTTGGAAGCAATACGCGTATAGCTCAGTGGTAGAGGTGCCCCACGTGGTAAGCTGCAGGTCGAGGGTTCGACTCCCGTTGGTTCCAAATTCTTTTCGAACTATTTCTTTATTTTGCTTTATTGTAATTGAATTATTATTGTATCATTCTTTATTGTAAAAAACAAAGCCTTTTCAGGTATGCAAATGCAAGAAGGGAGTCGCTCAATGCTCAAAAATGACATGTCCCAAACCACCAAGTTCGCCTTTTTAATTGAAATTTTCATTTGGATCTATTCTAATTCACTAATTCTAGGTTAAACTCTTGACTTTTTGCCCATTTCAGGCAAATGTACATGGGTTGGAGTGCCTGTTGGTGAATGTTGCCCAATCTGTCTTGGATGTCAATCGGAAAGTGGCGGAATTTTGGAGAAAAAAAAGATGAAAGATGAGTGGAATAAAGATGATTGCACAACGTGAGTTTTTGCCCTTTTTTCAACGAAACAAACAAAAAAACAAACAAACAAACAAAAAAACAAACAAACAAACAAACAAACAACCAAACAAAACAACTCTTGGTCTGATGACTTTGAACGAAATTTTAGCAAGCATTTCAAGATTTCAATAGCCGAATAGAAATCCAAGCCAAAAAATCCTCAAGAAATCGAATTCGATCCCCATTTTTCAGTTGTACTTGTTCGGAAGAGGGTGAGAATCAATGTGTCCGAGCGATGTGTTCAGTTCAATGCGAAAATCCGCGAAAAGTCGAGGGACAATGCTGTCCTGTCTGCGATGGTTCGTGATTTACACTTTACAAGTGTTCATTATATCATCATTAAAGTGTATTCAAAATATTCCACTTACATTATTTGATTTTGCTTGTTGTTCCATTGCTAAACAAATCAATTTTTTTCGTCATTCCAGAGCCGACGATCCTCTCATTGCCCTCGACTTGTCCATCACTTGAGCACTGTCCATTGAGATGTGCAAATGGATTGAAAGTAAGTGGAAAAGATTTTAGATAAAGAAATGAGAGCTGAAAAGCTGAAAAGGAGAGATTTTGAAAACAGCAAAGTACTATTCAGAGAAACGATAATGGATGTTTTGAATGTGAATGTCTCCCGTCGATTGAATCTCAACCAACCGAGTGCACTGAATTGAGCAAGGAGAATTGCGAAAAGTTTGTTATAGTTAAATAAATCTTTGCTAACAAAAAGTTTCATGAATTTAGCTTTAATTTACCTTTAATTTCGTTTTTCAAGTCTTCAAATGAAGAGCGGCGGCTTGAAGGCTCTAGTCATAGCTCTTCATAGCTCTAGTCATGTCTCTTCAAATGAAGAGACATAGCAAAATCTAGTCTTGCAGTTGAGCATTTAAATTACTTGCAACCTTTTTCCGAGAAAGTCCTGGATTGACGCTTTAAAGCGTGGTAAAACTACCGTACCTCTTTTACTTTGCAGGAAAACGCGCAATTTCATTTTTTCATTCTTGTTTTTCATTTCATTTCATTGTTTTTGTGTATTTCTGATGTGGTTTTCTTCGTATTCTTGATGAAATTGCGCGCTTTAGGAGGCTTTACGGTAGTTTTACCACGCTTAAAAACACCAGCCCAGGATTTTCTCGGAAAGGGTCGCAGGTTTTAAATTTGACAAAGCGCAATTTTAAATTCTCCTTTGCTTTGATTATCTTTAGATAGTCAATGTTCACTTTTTAGTTCTTTATTACCTTCAAAAGCTGAATTTTTAGGCAGTGTGCTCATGGGTATGTGAAAGATTCATCGGGGTGTGCGCAATGCCGATGCGCGAAATGTCCTCCGTTACATCAATGTCTGAAGCATTGTCTTTATGGGTTTGAGACGAATGCGGCCGGATGTCCTGTGTGTAAATGTCGAGGTAAAGAAATTTCGATGTTTGCTTATTTCAAACTGATCTTTTAGCACGAATCGATGCCAAATTGACAATGTCCGATCGATTGGTTTCATTGTCGGGAAGAGATCGATGCGGTGAGAGGAAATTTTGATTGAGAAACAATTTGTGTACTTTGAGGTTAAGAGTGGAAACACGTCTTTTTCTTGCACATAGGTTTTTCAAAAGAGTTAGATTTTGCTGCGATTCTTAAGTCTACGAAAACTATTGTAAATAGAGATCAAATTGGTGGATAAAATCATTTCAAGGAGAATAGTTTTGATTAAAAACATTCAGGTGGCTTCTCGAACAACGGAAAATTGGTGGAAAGAGATGGAGGAGAATGGTGGAATGATGGATGCCGGCATTGTTTCTGTGAACATAAAAGGGTAAGGTGAAACGATTGACAAAGGCGAAGCAAAATCTTTTATTTTAATATAAAAGAAAAATTATTGCCATCAAGTTGTAGCAAAAGTTTCAGGAATATTGCTCATTGATTTCTTGTCCGGAAAGATCAAGCGATTGCCCAACTGAAAGATGGATTCAAAAAGAAGGTAAGAAGAGATTTTTTTTCAATAAACCACAGCTCAATAACCCTTTAGGTGAATGCTGTCCCTCATGTTCTGGCAATCCGACTTTAATCTCTCAATCGATCGCTACAAAACATGAACATACCGTTTGCCAAAGTCCAGGATCGGGTCGGCTTTTCACCGATGGAGAAACATGGCAATTGACGGCTTGTGTTTGGTGAGACAATTTCTATGACTTTTTAAAGCAGCTCCTATAAAATATAATAAAAGTTCTATAAAATATAAGCCTTCTTATTAGGTGCACTTGCCGAGTTGGCTATGTTCTATGTCGTGCCTCGTCGTGTCCAGCTGTCGCTTGTCCACAACCGATTGCAGATCCCGAGAATCCGTGTTGCTCGAAGTAAGTATTTGATAGGGCTTTAACAGACAAAAAAATATTATGTAAGATCGCCTAAAAACCAGGCATGTTAATTCCGCCCCTTTTTCGATCCGTTTGCCGTTGGCAATCTACGTATTTTGCTCGTATCTTACCCGGGTTTCTTTGAAAAGCGTTGAATTTGCTTTCAATAGACTCGAAATCAAATTTTCTATTGAATGAAAGTAAATTCAACGTTTTTCCAAAAAACTCTTCTAAGATACGAGCAAAATTCGTAGATTGCCAACGGCAAACGAACAGAAAAAGGGGCGGAGTTAACATGGCTGCTTAAAACCAAACCTTATTTCCTAGATGTCCAACCGAGCCATTGATGACCGATTCATCGATTGTTTGCACGGATGAATCTGGTTCGGCTCACGCCAGCGGGGAAACATGGAAAACCGATGATTGTGAGTAAATAGAAAGAACGATAAATAGGATATTTTATCATTACAGGCACTTCATGTTCTTGTACTCAAACGGGAACAATTGAATGTTTCCGGGAATCGTGCGGGGAAAACGTCGAGAAGTGTAAAGGGAAATTGCTGACAGTCAAAGGAAATTGCTGTGCATTGTGTTCAGGTAAGAGATTTGTGGGAACTTTTCTCAAAATATTTTCGTTCAGACGCCCTTCAATCAGGCTCCGTTTGTCAATACGGTAATGCTGTGTATGGATTGCGTGAAGAATGGAAAGATGGTGTTTGCAGAAATTGCACATGTGTACAAGGTGGGAAAATGAAAAAGTTGGACTTGAATTTTTACTTGCACATTACTGATTTGAAACATTTCAGGCGGACAAACGGTTTGTCGAGAAGCGATTTGCCCTCCATGCTCTGATCCAGTTCCAATTGAGGGACAATGCTGTCCTCTATGCAAAGGTTGGCGAAAAAGAACTAATCATTTAAATGTAAATAGTTTTGAATTCGTAATATAAATCGGTAGTCGTAGCCAAGAATTTTTCAAACCCTAGAGCCTACAGGATGACACAAAAGTTTGGAGTCACCTTGTTTCTATGTTTTTCGGAGTGAAATTCTGCTTTTAAGATAACAAAAAAACCATCCAACGCGGAGTTATAAAGGTTTATAATTATAGCAAGTTTTTGTTAAATTTAAGGCTTTTGCAAGCAAAGATCCAATCTTTTTCTTGCCAAGATATCACCAGAATCGATCCAAATGGCCTAATCGCTTGAATTTCTCTCAAAAACCATCTGAATTTTCTGAAATATTTAATTAAACATAGTCAGTCAAAAGCAATTTTATTTTTAAAACTCTTTCTAGACGAATAACAAAATTCCAGGTTGATTGAAGCTGAAAGGGAAAACTTTAGCTCTAAAAATTTGGCGAATCCTAATCGGATTTCAAGTTTTAACTGTTGTTTCAAAAAAATAGGTCTTTGTACTCGATGAGAAGATTCTGTTTTTGCGGAAAAATGTTTTCTAGATCGAAATTCATCTAGCTTTCATCTAGCTTTCAAATTTCTTAACCGTTTTTCAAAAAAATTTTCTGTTGGACCTAAAAACGTGGTGGCTTCGAACTTTTGTGTCACTAAGGTAGACTAGTGACACAAAAGTCATTATGTCTTGTATAAGTCAGTCAGGCTATGTACATGTGTCTGGTTCTAAAACTTTGCTTGACCTTATCGTGACCTTATCCTTCTCTATGAAGCAAATCTACCATTTTGTAAGTGACTAAAGTTGAAAACTGGTAGACGCAATAGATAGAAAGATTTGAAAACTAACGAAAGCTAACTGATCAAAACCTTAAATGAGCAGCTATTCAAAGCTATTCAAATCTTTTCACAACTTCTCCCATCCCGAATTCAGATGGTTTACTTCGTGAATGGTCAACGGGCGATCATCTCTCGGCTTTCCCTCCTTTATCCGGAATCGATTCCGATCTCTCCTCTTCATCCAATTCGTCTCCAATCCTCGCAATTGTTCTTGGTCTCTCAATTTGTTCAATTCTTCTTCTCGTCGTTCTTTTCATCGTTTGTATTCTCAAAAAGAGAAGAGAAGATGCAAAACAACCGGTCAGTTTTCGAATTATATTTTTAAAATCTATATGTCGTAGCCGATTAAGGATTTCAGCCGAAGAAGTCTCAGACTTCTTCGGCTAGTCGATTAAGTCTCAAAAATGAAATCTTGAGTTATGTATGGACTCAAATCAACACCACAAACTCATGCTCTCTAAAAGGCGCTTAAAAGCTAAAAACGCATTCTAAAGAGTGCGCATTTTATCATACTGTAACCAAAGGCTATGAAAGGGCCCTTTTCGCCATTTTCTATCTGATTCGTCATTTATTTGAAATAGAATTGTTTGTTTTTGTAAGTCAATTTGACTCCTTTGTTGGATCATCGATAAAACTTATTTACCACTAATCTGTTTATAATCGAACATAACCCCTTATTTCAATCCTATTTTTTCTTTTTGTTACTGTGCATTTTTTGTTTAAGCTACACTAATTTCTGTTGATCGTTAACCGGCCAAAGAGCTCCTCGTTCTTGACGACTTTCTTGGGTTTGTCCAAATTGCCTTTGATCCCATGATTGTAAAGCACCTCTTGATTCAATTCGTATCGAAGAGAGAATAGCACTACAAGTTTTTAGTTTTTAGCACCTTTTAGAGAGCTTTTAGAGAGCGTTTTTAGCTTTTAAGCGCCTTTTTGAGAGCTTGAGTTTGTGGTATTGACTTGAGTCATAGATTTCATTTTTTAGACTTAATCGGCTAGCCGAAGAAGTCTGAGACTTCTTCGGCTGAAATCCTTAATCGGCTACGACATATACAAAATCTCTTTCAGAAGCTTCAATCAAAAGTTCAATTGTCATCGTGTCGTAATCACGGTTCATTGCCGCATTTGGCTGATTCATTCGAGAAACGACGAAGAGATACCGATACGGATGGACAAAGCGAATCACTTCTATCAACAACGTGAGTCGATTAGTTTTTAAGCATCAGACAAGTTGTAACGTTCGAGTTTCAAGATTCTTTTCAGTCTAAACACCAATCATCGAGTTCTCTAGGTAAACTTTGAGAAAATGAAAATTCTGTTTCGAGAAAACCCAATCGTTGTACAGTGATTAACCCCAGAAAGCTTACATTAACACAAATCTGAAAAAAATTAAATGTTGACTAGATGACTAGAGACTAAATGACTAGAGACTAGATGACTAGAGACTAGATGACTAGATGACTAGAGACTGGATGACTAGATGACTAGATGACTAGATGACTAGATGTTGTACTTGTTTTCAATCTATTCTTATAGATGGCAATTGTCGTCTATTGAAGTATCGAGCTTTGAGTTCATTTCTCGAATTTCAGTTCCGAATCCTCAGCTGGAATGTCCCAAACGTCAACTCATTCGGAGGCTCATCTTCTTTATAAACCCAATTATCGAGTCTAACGGTAAAGAGTACTATAAAAAAAGCTACCGTTCTCTCGATCCTGTAAACCCTGGGAAAAGTGAGAAAAGAGTTTCTTTTATTTGAAACTCTTTCTTTCTATCTAATAATATGAGAAAAGCCAGGTATCACCAAAAATTGTGCAATTATTTTTAAAAAAATTCCGCTTGCTAGTCTTTTTTTTTCGTTAGCCGGTGCCCCATTAAGTCATTTACTCTTTTTCATCTACAAAAACAAAAAACCAAAACTATCAATCCGCATTTCCCAATTTTTCTCATTCATTTCTCTGTTTGTGCATATACACGCAATATTTGCATGATAGCTCTCTCCCTCTCCCTCTCTCTCTCTCCCCCTCCTAAACGTATTATCTGCTAATTGTTTATCGTTTCGCTTTTCTACGCAGATTTTTTTACCTATTCGAAAAACGCAAAATTGTGATTCTGGACAAAAATCACCATCTATACTAGCAAGTATACGTTAAGTGTACTGTAGATGTATATCATCTGAGTCAGCTCCATAAATATAAAAGTGTCCCTGGTTACGGTGCTGCTTCAGCTAAAGTAAGCCGCTTGGTGGTTTTTGTTCGAATCCTCTTTCCCTCCTCCCATCTATCACTCTCATTTCACGTACCGGTTTCCCCCTTCACTCTCTCGACAAATAAAAAAAGCCCATAGCAATTCACATCTAAGCAATTTGTACAAATTTCACTTTGGTTGTTTCCCATTTAACCTTTTCGCTTCATCGTTCTTCCTCAAATGAGCTTTGTGTTAAAAAAGTGCATATTTCATTGTACAATATGTTCTCGTAATTTTGGATAAAGAAACGAATATCAGTTTCTATGACAAAAGTTTCCGTTTCTTTACTCAATTCATTTTCATTTCTACTCTTAAAGACCCACAAATTTCATAAACTAAAATAGAATCGGCTGAGCTTTATCATGACGGGTGTGGCCGATTTTTTTCTCAATATCGTCTCGGAAATCGACAAAAATCTAAAGATGCAATAACCGTTTGCATCCCCTCAAAAAGAAAATCTATAAATTATTTTCACCTCAGTTTTTGTGCGTAAAACTTTGTGTACAGTTCTTGTACTTGATTGGATAATAAACACTTTATAAAAAGCAACAACTGAGATCAAGTAACAACTGTAAAATGTGCTATAAAACTGAAACAAGTACATAGGGTACATTTAATTTGGAAAGCAAAAATGGCCTATTACAGAAAATAAATTTGACTAGTACATCCAAAAGACTATTAAATGATAAAGAATGCAAAAACTGTCTAACAGCTATAAAACATACGGAATGATGGCTCGACGTTCCGGTGGGTAATTTTTGAAATTCGCTTTGTACCATCTATGTGTGATCATCGCAGCAAACATCTGGTTGACGCATACAAACATCACTAGCATCTAAAATAAACATCACTCGGAGTTAAAATAACTAGTTAATATGAAAGAGTAATCCAAAAACGATAAAAATTGTTAATTTTTCTAATGTAAAGAAATGACCAAAAATAACATTCACTCATTTTTTTTAACTTACTTTAAACGTGACTGCGTGAACTCCAAGAACGAGCCACAAACCCAGGTAGATAAGGACTTCGAAGGTGAAGTGAGGCGAAGAAACGTAGTCGAACCATCCACCTCGGTATACGCAATGACCATAGTTGTGTACCAATCCTAAGAAATATAGTTGATACAATTAACTAAACGATCAGTTAAACTCAAGTAAGATTGAACTCAAAATACCTGTGGCTCCGCGTCGTGCTGAAGCAAGCCGATGAGCGATCGAATTTTGTTGCCAATTGCAAAAAAGGAAAATCACTACACCAGCCCACTGAGTGATTGTGATCTCCAAAAAATCGAAGTTGAGAGACGTCACTAAAGTTGTCAGTTATAATGGAAGAACCTGAATCCAGTGCTTACTTTTACGCGTTGAAGCAATGCCAATCATTTCCGACACAACTGTTAACGGCAAAACAATGTAGTGGGTGATTCCAATCACGTAATGAGCAACGTTCATGGTAGCGTTTGAGAAAATTGACACAAAAAGCGATTCCTGACACCTAAATACTTCAATTCGAATGAAACCCAACAAATAAAAATAACCTGCGAGTGACGTGGATCATAATTAATATTAAGGCCAACATTCCGGTCGTCCAACTATCTAAATTGAAATAGTGAGAACCAAAAAATTCGCTAATAAAGAAAGTTCTTAAAATATACAAATTAACGTACAATGCGGTTTAGTCCTCGTGAGTACTGCCAGAGCATTTGTTTGCCATTTTGTCGGTGATGTATCTGCAATTTTCGATAAAAACAGTTAGCCCAAAATGTTTGTACATCCATATGACACGGCGAGCGCGTATTCGAGCCAGAATCCTGTCCATATCACTGCCAAAATGTAGAAGTGGGTGAACCATCTGAAAATATCACACATAAGTAATCTAAGCCTGACTGTATAACAAAATAATAAATGTCAATGTGAAGCTACTTGATTCAAGCGACAATAAAACTCTTACCGTTTTGGTACCGAAACTCGTTGAACGAGTGGCATTGAATCCCCCGCTGGAGTCGTTTTCCCATAAAGCGTAAGTCCGGAGACAATCGATGGCGTACTCGGAAACCACAAAATCATCGTGCAGGCTACCGAAAGAGCTCCAGTAACCAGCAACAAATAGCAAGAGATCAAATCCATCTAAAAATCAAATCATTATGACCGCAAAAAAATAGTAACAAAGAAATAAATCAATTCATCTGAGGCTATCTATCTTCAAAGATCTCAGAAATCCTAGTGCTTCAAAGACAAGAGAATCTCTTTTCTTTAGGGGCTCAATTTGAAATGCAAACATTGGGAGTCGCACCCACAAGACGCGTCTAAACACGCCGCCTTTTCGATTTTCTCTTTTCAAGGTGGCACTAAAATTTTGCCCCATTAACGAAAAGGTAGTAGAAAAAAATAAGCACCTAGCTAGACGGAGGTTTTTCTTATTTATATGTGATTAAACCAATAATCCAACTTTTCGGGGAGAAACAGCCAATTCAAAGTTGAGATAGAAAAGAAGACAAATCGCTCAGCCAAAGCAAGGTCAATGGGCCAAAAGAGGGGGTGCCGGGGACTGTGTATGAGAGAAAACGGGGGAAAACATGGCAACAAATCGAGAAGGGGGACTGCATAGCTTAGCAAATGGAAATGGGGGAAACCCCGCCCGAAAAGAGAGGGGAAATGAAATGATGCAGAAAGAGCGACACACTCAAAACATCATTCACATGTGGCATGAAGAGAAAGAGATTCCTCAAATGTGGCCAAACCTTGAAATTAAGCTATTTTGATATTGGAAATGCTAGAGGAGCCGAGAAACGAATATCGATCAACCGCCCAGTGTTTCTAAACGAATTCGAGAAATGTCAACAATGTTGACGAAGTGATTAACCGCCTTTAACACAACAAATTTTAGTTTCTTCTGACAGAGAATAACAATAAATTTTACAAATTACACGAATCTATTCGAGACTTTCAGGGCAAACGCTAGAATACGTTTTCACTAACCAAATATTGATTTGCGTGATAAGGCGGGGAGAAAGTTTGAAAAACGTGAAATCCCACAAGTATGAGGAACAAATATGTGAAAGACTCATCCTATTTCTCAGAGAACTAAACATCGAAGTGGCTGGCAAAAGAAAAGGGCCTCAAAAAAGTGCAGCCTCTGTAAATAGAAGCCCGTCAAATACATACTACGCCAAAAAAACTCCCACGTCAACGATGCCCATTAAGCTCGAAAACCTAACCAGCACATTGTTTGTTTCTGAGAAACCACTTGCGAGAATAAGCAAATGCGATTAACCAAAAACATAAATACAACAATTTATTGGCAACAAAAAGAACGTCAACAAGGCGGCTTCATTGATTTAGTCGAGCTTCTTGAACCCGATGTCCTTAGAGCTAGAATGAACTTGTAAAAGCTAAACCAAAGATACTTACTATTCACGGAAACAGCGCCTGCACATGTTAATGGCGTACTTTCGAATGAGACCATGGTGATTCGAGCAGACTAAAATTTCTATTCCGTGCTAAGTTGCAGAAATTAAATAAAAAGGTGGTCAATCAAACTTGCTTACCTCGGCAGGTCCGGGATCCTGGTCCGTATTTGCGAGGATGAGAGTTCCAAAGCTCAGCGAAGCCCATGATTAGTGTAACCTAAAACCCCACATAACCAAAGTCAATGACAGAAAAACTCAGTACTTAAAATTCTAAAAAAGTAGGAAAATGGTAAAATGACCAAATTCTCACTACGAAACAAATATTGAAAATTTTATTTAAAACAGTCAAACGAGAAAACACAACAAACCCAAAGAAAACAGCTGAAAATTCTCGACCAATCATAAAAATTCAAGACTCTTGATCATTGATATTGATAAAATTGCCGTAGCTTACTTATTAGGAAGAACAAATCACTTCACCGCGCTATGAACAATAGTCATCACAATAACTTAGCCTTTAATGAGATTTGTAATGAAACAAATTACACCAAGAAACCAACTAAAGGCGATAAAGAGGCAATTAATAAATAACAATGGAAAATTTTAATGGTGCAAATGTGATAAAGAGAGACATATGAACAAACACTTGTGGAATCAATGATTATACCAGATTTAGGTCGAAACTTCTTACTCGACAACTTTGAGCACCTTGCCGATAGCGAGCGTTTTTCCTTCATCGCGAAGTGTAAAGCTAAAAAACGAAATTTCAAACCAGAAATCTTTAAACTAACCGTCCTAATTGCGGCAATTCCTTAAACGGCTCTAAGCAGAACGGCTCAGGGCTTTCGAAGCGGATTATGCATTTGTCATCTTGTTTCACAAACTTGGCTCGTTTCTTTTCGCCTGTTTTCTTGTCAATGGTAGCAATGATGAGCTAAATGCAAATAAAACCCGGACCATAAGATGACAATTTACCTTCACGCTGACCTCTTCGACGGCAGATTGGATATGGAGCACACAAGAATATCCAGGGGCAATGATTGATTTATAGTCCATAACAACAACCTAAAAAAATTTTTTACCGGATTAGTAACATTTTTCTACTTCAGCATCAAAGATTCGTCCGACTTTTACTGGAGCATCGGGCGATGAAAGGATAAACCCAGATTGGAGATCACTTTCCTCGACACCCTATAAAGTCTTAATGTAAACTAAAATAATTTTAAAACAACCTTGAGTTTTAGCTTTACATTGTCGCCAGCTGCCACTTTGTCAACTTCAGCGTCATCACACCAACACTGCGTTATTTGAACCAAGGTCTAAATCATTTTTTTCTAGAATAGAATTAAAGATTCAACCTTGTTAGGACTCAACAATAGTGTTTGATTCTTCTCAATCACTCCAGATTCCATTTTTCCAAATGCAATCGTTCCCATTTCCTAAACAAAAAATTTCGAAGATCTTACTAAACAAACTAACCGAGTATTTGTCAGTAATTATACAACGAACAGGTCCTTCAAAGTCGCGATTGATTGAGGCAATCTGATGGTCGATGTACTCGATAAAGCAGGGTCCACTAAATTTCCATTTTCTTGAAAGTCTCTATAGATATATACTTACCCGTACCAGCCACCTTTGGTTGAATCGCTTGGACGATCTTTGATAAAATCTCCCGTTAATCCTGAACAACTTATTGAATATCTCACTACAAAAGCGCACCTGATACTGGGATGTAGGTAATATCTGTCTTTGGGTTGAATCCACACTTCTTTAAATAGGGAGTCAACTTGCTTTGTATTTCGTCCCACCTAGCAATACAATAGAAGCGTCAACACTACAAATTTTACCTTCCTTGATCCCATTCCACTGTTGGGTCATCCATTTTGTTTACTAAGATGATCAAGTGTCTGACACCTAAACAATAATTTTAATATTTTAAAAAAGAAGTAAACATACCAGCAGTTTTAACAAGGAGAGCATGCTCTCGTGTTTGCCCTCCACGATCAAATCCGGTTTCGAATTCTCCTTTACGAGCAGAAATTACCTAAACGTTCATTTACACTTAAAGGAATTTCATTACGGTTCGTGTTTAAAAATTAATACAAAATCAATTTTACCAAAACAGCTAGATCAGCTTGTGTGGCCCCGGTGATCATGTTTGGCACAAAAGATTTGTGGCCGGGAGCATCCAAAATGGTGAAGTGCTTACGCTCTGTTTCAAAGAAAGCACGGCCACATTCTACTGTCTAAAATAAAATAAACTTTTCAGATTCAAAAGTTTAACCGACCTTTCCTTTATCTCTTTCCTCTTCATTAGTGTCCATGCACCATGATAGGTACCTAAACATAACAGCATACTAATATTTTACTGCTTTATTTTACCAGCTTTCTCGTCCTTTTTCTTTTGCATCTCTTTCATATTTTTCAAGTGTCCTCTTGTCAACCATTCCAGTCTAAGAAAAAGATACTTTTTAATACTAAAATCAGTCCCGCACCTGAAACATGATTTGACCACCAATTGTAGATTTTCCTGCATCGACGTGTCCAATAAACACAAGGTTGACGTGTTCTTTACGCGATTTTGCTAAAATGAATATTTAAAATCAAGAAAGAATTAAATTTACGGTCAATCGTCGCTCGCTCGAACTTGCGGTTCAATGGTGCAACAACATCAGCAACCTCAGCTTTTTCTACTTCCTAAAGTCTTTTAATTTTATGTATTCAAGAGAAATAGATAAATGATTAAAAGTATATCACATTACCGGAAGTGGCGCTGGCTTTTCAACTGGATCACTGACGACGGCCGGTTGCGGTGCTGCTGGCGTAGTCTCAACTGGAGCCGGTACTTGGGCTGGGGTCTCTGCCGGTTCAGGCTCGGCATCCCATGCTAAATACTTTGAATTTAGAAAAGACAGATCAACTTATTGTTTTTAAAGTTTAGAAAATATTGCTTTAATCAAATGTTAAAGGCAGATAAGGAAAGTTGTTTTAATACTAACATCAATACACAGCTCAAACTTTTATCAAATATATTTATCACAAAGAACACTTTTACCTTGTTGAGGCTCAGCTGGCGGTGCTTGGTATTGCTGTCCGGGCACAAACGGTCGTGCATTTGCATTCGGCACGAAGGTGGCCGCATTCAAGTTCCACCCCGACATCCTGTAAAGAAATGCTTATTAAAATCATGCCAGAAAAAATGAATGAAAATGAAAAATGAAACATGAAAATGAAAAATGAAACATGAAAATGAAAAATGAAACATGAAAATGAAAAATGAAACATGAAAATGAAAAGAAAACATAGAGTAAAATTGCACAAAACAGGCCAGTTGTGCAATTACGCCCAAGAACACAAAAACGAAGCACTCCACTGAAAAGACGCGAGAGGGTCGTACTAAAGTGTGGGTCGTAGTCCAGCACAACCACTACTAAAAAAGATTCAAAGCGCGATTCGCATTAAGGCTAATGAATTCTCTGAATCGATAGCTTATTTCAAACTAGACAACGAAAAGCGAGGATGAGCCGGCTATCTTTCGATTTACTATTCCTACGGCGACTGTGCACATTATTGAGACTACTCTTTCCAATAAATAAACATTCAATTACATTATACCTGACAGGAGCGGTTTTATTAGGAACTTTTCTAGGTAAGAAAAAGTTTAGCCAGGAATAAGTGACGAAAGCAAGAATTTAGATCAAATTACCACTTATTTTGTCGGAGTGGTACCTAGCGACTTTTACGTGGCCTTGGGAAATCGTGATTCAAACACCTACAAGGTGCTCATTGTAAAAGCGGTACTCATCATTTTGGGCAAAGCTTTGGTGAGCTGCAAAAATGAAGCATTGCAGAAAAAAAAATTTAGACCCTAGCCGGCGTAAAATATGTTACCTCATTGTTGTATCTACGGTGCCGCAAGATTTGTGACTATGCCTTACACAGGCTATACTTTAAACGCCACGCTTTCTACAAGGTCAACAACAATTTGGAGAAAATGGATAATCCGTGAGTGGCAAGATCAAAATAAAAAGAACATTTTGTTCAGCGATCAACGAATGACACAAGACGTGGAGAAATGCACTCGATTGCTTTGTGTCGATTTGATCGGACCCGTCTTGAGCGCACCATTTGTGATTTCATATTATGCTTATTTGACGTATCAAAGGTACGAAATGGGCAACAAACGTTAAACAAACGAACGGCGCTATTTAAACAAAAGTAGATGCCGTTGAAGGGGGAGTGGGACAAATGCGACCTTTTTTGCGCATCTGTCCCATTAGCGCACCTTTTTTCGCGTTTTAAAAAGCTCTAAAAAGCTAATGTTAACCAATTACCATTCCAAAAGTTATTTTTCTGGGTAATTTTAGGGCATAGAATCCAAGTTTTGACATATCAGAGTTTGTGGAACTAATTTAAAAGATAAAACGGGTAGGTTATAGAAAATTTTCGATTTTTCCCTATGTATAGCTCTGTCCGTTTGCTTCCACAAGCTCTGATATGTCAAAATTTGGATTCTACGCCCTAAAATTACCCAGAAAAGCAACTTTTGGAATAGAAATTGGTTAATATTAGCTTTTATAGCTTTTTTAAAACGCGAAAAAAGGTGCGCTAATGGGCCGGGTGCGCAAAACAAGGTCGCATTTGTCCCACTCCCGAAAAAACAAAATGAGGGGGGTGGGACAAATGCGACCTTTTTTTTGCACCGGACATTTGTTTCTTGCTGGAAAAGGCCTTAGGAAAGGCCGTAGAGCTTCAAAAATGTTTTCGCATAAAGGGAATCGTATGCGTAGATTCCGAATTTCGACAAATCGGACCTTGCTGACACGTCAAATTTGGGCTAAAAGGCAAAAACTGCGGAAAAGCGTTAAGTTGCGTAGTTTTTGCCTTTTAGCCCAAATTTGACGTGTCAGCGAGGTCCGATTTGTCGAAATTCGGAATCTACGCATACGATTCCCTTATATGGAAAAATTTTCGAAATATTTTTGAAGCTCTACGGCCTTGCCTAAGGCCTTTTCCAGCAAAAAAAGGTGCGCAAATGTCCAGGTGCGCAAAAAAAAGGTCGCATTTGTCCCACCCCCAAAATGAGAAATGACTCAGCGAAAAGCGGTTATATACTGCGAGGAGTACGGTCGTTTTAGGAGCACATTTTAGAATTGTGGATAGATGTTCGTGCTTTTAGCCTTAAAAGTGAAAAACAATGTGCTTTAAAAGTCTTTAAAAACTAATTTAACATACCCAGATACATATTTCTACAATAAAGATCATTTCAGCACTAATTGGATGGGTCCTGTAGCAATTCTCGTCTATTTTTTTGTAGCCACACTGGCAAACAAAGTGATTTTGTCTCCAATCGTGAATCTCGTCAACGAGCAAGAAAAACGAGAAGGAGATTTTCGGTAAAAAAAGCCCAAAAATGCAAGTGTTTAAGCTATTTTCAGACAAAAACATATGGAGATTCGGACGAACAGTGAAGCGATCGCTTTCTATCATTCGGGTTTAATCGAAAATGTGCTTACGAATCAGAAGTTGAACGGTTTACATTGGGAAATTAAACTTTAAAACTTGCAAACTTTAGCTTTACTGACAGCTCAACGAAAGCTAGTGGATTGGCGTTTTGTTCTAAGTTTTGCTACTCAATTTTTCGATTATTTTGGTGGAATTTTATCGTATTTATTGATGGGGATTCCGATATTTTTGACTGATGCTTATGCTGATAAATCAGGCACCGAATTGACGGGAATCGTTTCAAGGGTATGTTTGATTAAAGAGATATTGTCTAGGTTTAGTTTTTTTGTTTATTTTTGTTTATTTTTGTTTACTTTTGTTTATTTTTGTTTATTTTTGTTTATTTTTGTTTATTTTTGTTTATTCAAGCCATTCTATGCCATTCAAAGTCGATTTTCAGACAGCTTTCTACTATTTATACTTGATCTACTGCTTCACAAATCTCATAAATCTTTCCGAGAAATTAGGCGATATGGCCGGTGTCACGCATCGGTAAGTACAGTACTGGACAATGAAATATGATATTTGAAAAAAGATCGTCACTTTCGCGCGTCTGTAACTTCCTTGTTTTTGAATTTAAACTATTAGTGTTATACATTTTCTGAAAACTCTTTTCAACGGCTACACAATGGTAATATTAATATTTAGAAATATGGTAAAGACAATGGAGTTACAGACGCGCGAAAGTGACGATCTTTTTTCAAATATCATATTTCATTGTCCAATACTGTAAATATAAGAATTGCAAAAATTACTAGAGTTTCCGCAAAATACTCAAAAACTTTAGTGTGATCGAATTGTTGGAAGAGATGAGGAAACTGCACGCGGATTGTCTTGAAACAGAACGTCCTCCATCAACCGTTCCATCGAGTGTTGTGGTGATGGCTTCTGATGATAATTCGGATGAAGGAAAAGAGAAAATTCGGAGAAGAGATCCAAATACGGTCAGTCATTCAGAATTAAGAAAAAAAGAAACGAGATTTGACTCTGACTTACCGTAATTATTCTAATAAAAGACGCACAAAAATGATGAAGCTCCGCCCATTCACTTGAGAGTTAAAAAGTTGCACTAGATCGCGAGTTTTCAAGAAAAATCTCTGAAACTTTGCCACAATATGCACATTTCATAGACAAAACTATAGAAATAAACAAAATTTAATTTGCTATAGTGTTGTAGTGTATTATAGTGTTTTAGAGTTTCAGTTTCAGTGTTTCCGGTAAAGTTTCAGAGATTTTACTTGAAAACTCACGGTTTTTTGCAACTTTTTAACTCTCAATTGAGTGGGCGGAGCTTCATCATTTTTGTGCGTCTTTTATTAGAACAATTAGAGTACTTTAGATTGCCGAACTTCATGGAAAACAACTCATTGATGGAGATGATGAGGAAGAGGCCGCCTTTTTATTGCAAGGTTACAAAGTTTACTTTACTAATACACTTTAAAAGGCTTAAACTCAAAATAACTATCAATAAATCAATTCTTTGAATAGGCGGTGATCGAGAAGAACCAGATTGGCCGGATGATGGCGTTGCATTGACTCTTGACTCATCCACACTCGCTAAACCGCATGATCCGAATTCGATTCTTGTTTGTAGTGAGTATTTCATATTATTCAGATTTACTTACTTAACTTACTTTTATTTAGCTTACTTTTAATCCCATTTACAGATCTTTCACTCCAAATCGCGCAGGGACAGAATCTGTTGATCAGCGGTGATTCGGGAGTCGGAAAGACGTCACTGTTTCGATTATTCGCCGGATTGTGGCATTGTGCTGGTGGTGAGTAAAGCGATAACAGCAATATCAATGAAGCAATCAATCAAAGTCTAATCATCGTTTTCACAGGCAAAGTTGATCGTCATTGGAAGACTCGAGCACACAACCTCTTCTTCGTCTCTCAAAAACCATATCTACCATCGGGAGGGACAACATTAAGGCAACAAATCGTTTATCCTGTCAAAGCTTTGCCTGTTGATAAAGGTATTCAAAGTTATTCTATAGATTTTATTTAACTTTACTTAACTTTCAGATCTGACTCGTCTCACGAACATTTTGGAGATAGTGAAGCTGGAATATTTGATCGATCGATGTGGTGGATACGATATTCCGGTGGATTGGGATTGGTGAGTGAGGAAAAGAGAGGAAACTAGATGAACGGTTCTGAAGATCCGGGTTTTCCTTCCTTCTTTCTCTTGGCAAGTACCAGATAGCTTAGTAGTTAGAGCAAGCTCAGTGGTTGCCCGGAAAGTAGAAGGTCGGGATCGAGGTCGGGATCGAGGTGGGGATCGAGGTGGGGATCGAGGTGGGGATCGAGGTGGGGATCGAGGTGGGGGTCGAGGTCGGGATCGAGGTGGGGATCGAGGTGGGGATCGAGGGGGATCAAGGTCGAGCGTTCAATCCCCTCTCCAGAGCTTTTTCTTGTCAATTCTTTCACTTCTTTATTATAAAATTTTCTTAAAGCTTTCAAATCTAATATTTAGGATGGATACTCTATCACCGGGTGAGGCTCAACGTCTTTCAATTGCTCGTGTTCTCTACACAAAACCAAGAGTCGTTTTCTTGGATGAAGCCACGTCGGCGATTGGATTTGAATTGGAAATGGCTATTTATAAAGCATTTGAACAGGTTCGGCAATTAAACTAAAGCTCAGGAGAAAGATTTGAAGTCTTTGACAATCTTTTACACAAGTGATAGTCTTTAACAAATCTTAGAATAAGACAATTTTCAGGAAGGTATCACTGTCGTGTCAATCGGTTATCGTTATTCTCTCAAACAACATCATGATATGGAACTACGATTGACTGGACATGGTGAATGGAAATTAACAGAAATCGACTCAGCATCGATCGTTTCACGAACACAAAGTATTTTGGGAACTGATACAGTACTCTCACTCTGATTTTGTGATCCAATTTCATCTCAGAACCGCAATTTCCCCCCGTAATCACTTTGAATTTTCTTTTTCTTAACCGCATCTCTTCCTTTTTTTCTAACTTTATACGGCTGGGAAGTACTGCTTTCTTTTCTTTCTTTTGATATAAATAAGACCAAAGTAAGACCAATTTTCATTAATTTCATTAATCGACAGGGTCCCATCAGACATCAAGGTGTACTTTGTGCTGTAAAGTGTAAACACACCTCTTCTGGTGTACTCAAAGACTCAAGAACTCACCATCAGTGCACCAGAAAATGTTTTGAGCCATTTTGAGCCACATTTTGAGCACAAAGTGCACACCAAATTCTCTCATTTTCCCCAAAAACGAGCTTTAGTTCATCCACTCTCCAAATGAACCCAATAGTGCGAATATTAGTTCGGAATTCTTTCCCCAAAAAAAGAACAATCTTAAATCTTGCCCATGATTTGTTTCTTTACAAGTTTTATTTTCTTTTTTTGGCTATCACCGATGATTGCATTGAATTCGATTACAGGTTGTGTATCTGATATTTGTTGAGGAGAAAAAGGAGAGATATTCTCTTTTTTTCTTGCATTATCTTTAATTCTGTAAATATTTCCACATGTGAATAAATATGAAAAGATTATGGCAGTCAATTAGCTAAAGTGGAACTATTAGGTGTGTGAAAAAGTAATCCACGTTTTTAACGTTTAAATATAATAGACCATAAGTTTCGTTAAATAAAATTCATGGCATTCAAGCGTTTCCTTACGGTTGACCCATCACAATTTAATGTAAAGCCTATTTCTGAAGAGGTTGAACGAGGGTTTTCGAGAAGACAGCGTCTTATTTGGTCATCAGAACAGGTCTCAGGGCGACCGCCACGTGGTTCATCTTCTAGGCTTTCATTACCACCTTTGAATCGTCGGAACCAAAGCCTAGCGGTATCATCAATAACGGCGTCTTCGCCAAATCAATAACGCATTCCGAACTCGACGTGCAGCCTCCGCAGCTTTCAACCCATTTTTGAACTCATAAAGCAAATTTGACCCAATAACGATACTTGTGTATACCATTTTCAAACTAAAATGAAAGTAGTTTATTGTCGTCCTTTTAACAAAATAAATATATCATTCGAAAGAGGAAAAAATATGCTTTTAAACGATATATATATCGTTCACAAAAAATTAAAAATTGTTTAGATATATTTAAACAAAATAAAAATAAAAAACGTGGATTACTTTTTCACACACCTAATAATTAATCTGCATCTGTCTGTCTGTATGTCTGTCTGTCTGTCTTTCGTCTGTCTTTCGTCAGTCTTTCGTCTGTCTTTCGTCTGTCTTTCGTCCGTCTTTCGTCTGTCTGTCGTCTGTCTGTCGTCTGTCTTTCGTCTGTCTGTCTGTCGTCTGTCTGTCGTCTGTCTGTCGTCTGTCTATCTGTCTAATTAATCTGTCGAACTTCATCGCAAAATCCACATTGCAATGTTTGCACATCGGTTTGGTAAAAAGCAAAAGAAAAATCAAGTCAGACATCTCTATATTCTGTCAAATTTGGTGACATTAAAGGTTGCCTGAAAATTTAACAATATGAAATGACCGTATGACTTGAATGGTGTACTGTAACAATGTCAAAGATTAATCAATCAAAAGATTAATCATTTTGTCTAGATAAGCACTTAAAACAAGTTTCAGAATAAATAAGCTGATCGATATCAAATGCAATAGAGGCTAGTCAAATAAAGCGAAACTTTAAACGTGATTCTGAGAAATTTTGTATCTACATGCGTATCTACATGTACTTACCGATGCGTGACACCGGCCATATCGCCTAATCCTACCATAATCGAATTTGACCAGATCTTCAACTTTCATTGTAGGTGATAAAAGAAAAGCTGCCCCTGGTCCTCGATCATATTCGTCAAATACCAAAAGAGAAGACCGTGTGTTGTTACTTTGAATGTGTCATCAATGGCCACACGTTTATGACTATACTTCTTTATCCATTCTGCTGCTAATGGTGTTATTAACACTAAATAACAGTTATCTATTAGGTTGGCAAAAAAGAAATGAGCGTCGTGTTTGTTGATTTGTATTTTATTCACAGTAAAAGATTTTTTAAATAGTTTATTCTATTGGAAAGAGCGTGTTCTTGCGCATCGTTTGATATATAATTTGTCTATGTTTACTTTGTTTTTTTGCAAGAAAGAGTGTTTAGAAAATGTCGGACCAAAAATTTCGTTTGCTGGCCTGCTTGTGGCATGAATTTAAGCAAGGCAAATCGGCTGCTGAAGCTCATGGCGCTCTATCTCAAGTGTTTGACGAAGATGCTCTATCCGAAAGTCAGTGTAAACGATGGTTCCAGCGCTTCCGAGACGGCGACGAAAGCTTGGAAGACCAAAAACACGGACGTCGACCTCAAATCATCGACAACGACGCATTGAAGGAAGCCATTGAGTCGGATCCACGCCAAACCACTCGCGACCTGGCAGAACAGTTCGACTGCACTCATGTCACCATTGAGAACCATCTGCATGGCATGGGCAAGACGAATAGATGCGGAAAATGGGTACCGCATAAGCTATCCGACGCAAACAAGGCGACACGCATCGCAATCGCCGGAATTCTCACTCACCGCGCCAAGAACAGTGGATTTTTCGACTCCATTGTTATGTCGGATGAGAAGTGGATCCAATACGGCAACACAGCAAGAAAGCGGCAGTGGTTGGACCCCGGTGAAGCTCCAAAACCGGACATCCACGGAAAAAAGGTGATGCTTTGTGTTTGGTGGAACAGTAAAGGCCTGGTATACTTTGAGGTTCTGGATTCGGGTCAAACAGTTACGGCGAACCTCTACCAAGGCCAATTGGACCGCGTGGACCAGGCGCTACGACGTCAAGGCGTGGATACAGCGTCGACAAAATTCCTCCGCGACAACGCTCGGCCGCATGTCGCAAAAATCACCCAGCAGAAAATTGAAGAAATGGACTGGGAAGTCCTGCCTCATCCGCCATACAGCCCAGACTTGACGCCTTCCGACTACCATCTGTTCCGATCAATGCACCACTCCTTGGCCGAGAAAAAGTTCAAGAACCGTGACGAGGTCCAAATTTGGGTGTCCAACTTCTTCGAGTCGCAGCCGGTCGAGTTCTTCAAGAAGGGCATCCATTCTCTGCGTGAACGTTGGCGACAAGTCATTGATGCAGATGGCGAATACCTTTTGGATTAATGTATTGTTATCTTGTTTTTATAATAAAATAAACTTTTAACGAAAACGCGCATTTCTTTTTTGCCAACCTAATATATCTATAAGCCCTACTAAAAAGTCGTTAAATTCTCAAAATTCTAAACTGTGTCGATCAATCACCAAATTTCTCAACCAAAAAAAAAAACATTTTCCCATTTTCCCAGCTAAATGATATCAAATTTTCTTTTCTATTTCCATTTAGTCAGCCCCAATTTTTTGAGTGGAATGGTCCCAAAGATTCCTTAAAATTTAGACATCCTTTTTGCTTTTTTAAATCTCCAAAAACCTTTGTCTAGTCTTAAAAATTCTCTTGAGGGGAAATGTCTGACCTCAACGAGAAAAAAAATCAACAAAAAGAGATCAGATTTCATTTGGATGTCCACATTTTTTGCCCTTTTTTGCCCTTTTAGATGCGGGCAAAGTGGGGAAGCTTTGATTTTTGGAAGATTTTGGATGAAGGGAACGGATTGTGATGCTTGCAGGAGTGGGGTTCAATGTCGAGATAGGGTATTCGTTTTCAAAACGATTATAACTTTACTGAGAATGCTGTATGCCTTCTTTTTCTTACTTTAGATAGGTTTAGACCTATCTAAAGTATCTTAAACCCTTAAAATTAGAAACAAAAAGCTATATTCCTTTATCATCCCATTATGCCAAGTATTGTAACTTTACATTATCTTTAAGATAGCCAAAAAGCATAGTGAATTTGATAGTCAGTATAATTATTGGGTTGATGGAAAAGTCCTTTCCGATTTTTTGGGAGAGTACCTTAAATTTGTCCGGATGGGAGAGTACAATTTTGACGTTTTATAGCTCATCCTAAAGCTGAATTCAAGACGGATCGATTGGTAAAAACCGTTTTGAGATATCTTTTTTCAAAAATTGCTATTGCTGTTGCTGTTGCTGTTGGTGTTGGTGTTGCTATTGCTGTTGGTGTTGCTGTTGCTGTTGGTGTTGCTAAAGGTGTTGCTATTGCACCAGCGACACCTGTTTCGGGTCCATAAACGAAATCGGGTCCATAAACGTCAGTAATCTCTCGATGAGCCTGTGCGGGGCATTGAGTTTTCGGTTGAATGTCGCTGGTGTCTATTGCTAAGATTCTGAAAATGCGTGTCTAGGGGTTATTTTTGACGCTGATCACGAAACACATGGTTTTAGCCTAGGTTTCTGCACGGAAAACTAACGAAACGTGAAAACAGCGATTTTTTTGGCTCTGTCGCCCTTTACTAAAATAGCTGTAAAAAATTTTAGAAAAGAGATATCTCAAAACGGTTTTTACCAATCGATCCGTCTTGAATTCAGCTTTAGGATGAGCTATAAAATGTCAAAATTGGACAAATTGGACAAATTTAAGGTACTCTCCCCAAAAATCGGAAAGGACTTTCCCATCAACCCAATAGATTGTTGGATGTCTGATGTCTGGTCGTAGGTGAACGGTAAAAGTAGTGTCTTGGCATAGCTATAGTCTTGGCGTAGCTTTCCCCTATGCGCGCTTTTTAGAAAAGCTTGTCCAGCTACTAAATTGCAATCGTTTTTGATTGTTTTTGTTTCAATTTGAATAAAGCTAAAGTTAAAATCTTTGCGACAATGGGATTTAAAAATAATTTTCAAATAGAACGCAAACCTTTTTTCCCTCGATGATTTCATAAACAATTTGTCATGAAAGCTCACGAGATTTCCCCCAATCTCCGTAAAAAATTCTTTCCAAAAAAGGATAGTGATGGTGTGTGTGATTTTGATCGGATCAAATTTCAAA